CTGATTTTCTTTTGTTGTCTTTGTCTCTACTGAAGCCCACAACAACAAACTACTAAAAATAGAAAGGTGTTACGTGAGACTCATGGCAGTTCCCGTCACTCGTCTGTGTTTGGTTTGAACAGTTGATTGACCTTTCTGTTCATTTTTTTTTATTGTAGGACCTAGTATATCACTTGGGTTATTTTATTTTTTTCCCTAACAGATCTTTTTAGGTCACTATCACTGTTTCTGAATGTTGTGTGCTTGTGTTTGTTCTGAGGTGAGGGGATTCTGAGGTGGGAAATGACATCATGGAAAGTGACTGCTGTGAAAACAGTCAGCACAGCCCCACAGGTGGGCTCTATGATTAAGAGATTATGGAGGAAATGAAAGAGCTTCAGAAACACACACACCCATGCATACTCACGTGCGCATGCAAGAACTCAGGATTCAGTCTGGAAAAGGAAAAAGAAGCACGTGTGAGTCATTGCAAGCACTGGAGGAAGACAGGTATGGTCAGGGTTACCTGTCCTGGCTGGTTGCCACCTGCAGTTCTGACTCAATGATTGAAGGGAGCTGATTCAACATGGCTACAGCCCCAAACAATCCTCCTCCATCATCCATTCATGCACACAAAATGTCATCTTTCCACTTTCATAAGACGTGTAGTTCAATGTTCAGTTTCTCCATGGAGTACTGCCCCAATCTGACATCTGCCACTGGAGCAGCATTTCTCTCCCACAGTATAGAGCTTAATCGGTTTCATGTGCCGTGTACTCTTACTATTAGTTACATGTGTAGTGATCAAAGAGAGGACCTTGTGCTCTTTCTGTTGAAAACACAACATCAGGGCGAAACCTTCTTGCCTTCTAATCAATTCCAGATTCACATGGGAGAGTTGTTGTATTTTCTTTGAAAACCTTTTGCACATGAGACCAAAAAAAAAAAGAGGAGGCAAACATCTTGTGAGGTGCACTTTTAAATGACGTCCATATGCCTTTGTGTTGTTTACTCCAAGGTGAAGTCACACTTAAGGACAAAATCAACCAAAAGGCTTTTTTTTATTCCAGCTTCACGGGAATGGGATCGGCACTTCTGCACCGGTGCAGTTTCCTGCTGAGAAATCCCAGCAGAGGTTGTTTGTTTCTGGCCTGAGGGTGGTGGRTAAGGGAAGGGTGCAGGGTGCACTGGTAAGTGTGGAAAAGCCGTCCTAGCCTAAAGGTCCACTTTTGTCTTAGATGAGCAGGTTAATCAGACACTCGACCTGTGAAAGTTCCCAGGAGGKGTGGCTTAAAGACGGGTAAGACTAAAGGCAAAGGGATGATGGATGTTTATGCTGCTGTCTGAAGACATTGTTGTTGCAGTAACCAAGGAGGGAATTGGCCAAATTGCCACTTTCCAAGGCGAGATCTCACGACCCCCATCAAAACTGGTCACTTCTACAAAAGTTAATTACTCTGTTCCATTGTGCCTTGATCAGCCAAAAATAAGCCCCGAAAGATGTGCCTCTCCGCAGTGCACTCAGATGGGTGACAATCCACCACAAAAAGGTTTAAACCACTTGTTATATTGTCTTATATTATTTACAGTGAGACATACATTTTAATAATGTTTAAAGTGGTCTTGAGGTGAATATAGTAGTTTTCTAGTATCCGAGATGTGCCGAACTTAATAATAAAAGTCATGAAAGATGCTTGGTTTCCCTTCAAATGTCTTTTAATACAAATTTAAAAAGTATTGAATTACAGTGCAGGCTTGTTCCGGGAAACAAAGGGATGACCGATTCCTCAAGAAGCACACAAAAAATCCAATAAAGACTTGACACATAACATTAAAGGTGCTTCGATTGATCATCTACCACATGTCAAGTAGGGCTGCTTGGTTATTGACTTGATATGGTTAATAATCTGAATCTTTGCACTGAATTCGAGAGTCTGAGATCTTAATCAACCCTGATCCTGCAGTATCTTCAGACAGATTGTCACTAAGTCCACTTAGTTAGTGAACTCACCATTAAAACGGCTGAATCCTTGCAAATACTCCAGACTTAGAAGAGTCTGATCTCTGATGTGGTTATACAAAAGAAATAAGACTATACCTTTTCAAATTGTGTTATCTTTGGTATTTTTCATACATTCAATAAAGCAATTTTTATGACTGGTTGCCAACAAAGGTCACTATTATGTTTTTAGTTAAGTAGCCAACTAGTACTTCTGCTACTTACAAATCATTGGAGCAAATTTAGTCTTTTTGACTGACGGCTAATAAAAAGAACCTAAACTTGCATTTGAAGTTGGTTCTTTGCTAAATTGTTTGTAATGTGTCAGTTTTTTTTCTGCCTAAATGATACATAAGTCTGAGATTAATAAAACTAAGATATATTTTTACATAAAATGAAGGTACAAAGTAAAAATAAGATTGCTTTATTGACTTTTTGGAGGAAAAAAAACATGAGGAATGACTTGACACTTTTGTATTACATTTAAAGGCGAGCTCAAGACTTCCATTACAATTTTAACTTTATTCACTTAGAGTCATTAAGAAAAGGCAATATTACAAAGAGCAAGACAGAAGAGATGAAGCTAAAGAAAAAAATGGCTGTTAAACCAGCTTTTTAATGAAATTGAGTTGAAATGTGTTTGGCTACTGTTTGCAGCTGAGATAAGATGAGATGTTGAAAAGYTGGTTAAAGCACAGACAGACTCCTGGAAACGAGACAGAGTTTTGTTTACACTTACCCCATGATTTGAGGTGAGAAACGATGACAAGCGAGATGAATTAAAGACGGAGCTGCTGGCCTCTTTTAAACACGCAGGTTAAACTTAGCATCCAACTCACCACAAGAAGGTGGCTTCTTTGTCCTCGTCTGATCTGTTTAGACTGCACACGCTAAATTTAACTTGAAAAGTTTAAAAGGAACAAAAAAGTAAAAAAGAGATTTTCTTTGTGGGCTGTTTTGGAGTTAATTAAAGAATACAATCAAGTGATTTACTAGCCATGGATTTTCAAATAAATACATTTTTTTCTTTTCATCAATGATATGATATCTGGTTCATGACTTGTGTTCTGTGTTCAGATTTAGACTCAGTCTATATTGGATCATTTGTTGTGAATATGTAAAAACTCACTATCATTTCAGCTTCACATCCATGACAAAACATTTTAAGATCCCTAAAATAAACTTTTTTTTAAGTAGGCTACTACAGTATTTTTAGCGTAAAACAGCTAAAATGCTATTTTTTTAAGCGTAGACATCYTACCCCTCCCCTAAAGTTTAGATGACCTGTTTATTTTGTTTTATTCACATTTTGCTCTCGATGCACAGATTTATTTGCATGTTCCATCATTGTTTCCTGTTTTTGGTGTATTTTTGTGGAAGTTCTGCAGCGCCWCATACAGGCCTGGCATAATCACTGCAGCATTTTGGAAAGTTTTTGTGTGAACGAAGATGTTTCTTGGAACAGTGCTTTACTCAGTGTTATTATCTAAAACAGCTATTACAAGTATTGTTTTTGGAAAAGCTGTTTCCCTGAAGACATGGCTTTAGTTCAGGACTTCTCAAACTTTCTGGATGCCTTACAGGAAAGACAAATTTGCCAAGGACTCCCTCAAAAACCCTGTGCTGCTAAAAATAATTTTTAACTTTAAATATTTATTTATTTATTTATTTATTTATTTATTTATTTATTTATTTATTTATTTATTTTTTTTTGGTCAAGTATGTTTGTTTCACTGGTATATTTGGTACCATCATGTGTGTATATATATCCACTTGTTTAAATTATATAATTAATAATTTTTTGCAGTTTATTGTGTGGACCTCCAAGTTACAGCTCAAGGACTCCTTCAGGTCCTGGGACCTCAAATTTGAAACCTCTGCATTTATGCAGTTATATAAAACTGTCATGTTTTTCAAACAGTATTTTTTGTTATAGTTTAGTTTGAGCCTCTTTTTTTGTGATTTCAAACATACATTTTGTTTTAAAAAAAAGTTTTGACCTGGACATAACATGGTTGTTTCTAAAGAGGGATATTGAAGAAGACAGAAAATATAAATTATTATCAAAACAGTGCTAGAGTACGAGTTTGTAACATAAAAAAGATAAATAATGTCAAATCCGTAACTTGTATTTGTTGTTAATGTTTCATATTGACAATGTCTTTTTAGTTACWAAATTATTTTTGTTTTCAGAGTTACTATTGTCATAATGTCAGCATTTGTTGTTCGTGTCAAACTAAAAAAATTGAACATATTTATTACATTTTGATGAATTTATCACAGTTTTTCTGACATCTTTTATTATCCTGGATGTTTGATGAAGCACAAAGTAATCCATGTTTTATTGTACCTCCTCCTCTCTCCCTCAAATGGATCAACTAGCGTGTCAAGCTGACAAGAGATGAAAAAAGAAAACAAGAGAGCAAAGTCAAGTTGTGTTAGGTGGAGCTCACATTGGGTCTGGAGCTTTAGGGGGATGTGGGCTGCAAGCATAATTAGATGATTTTAAGGGAGAACAGTGGGAGGATGAGGATCAGCCACACGGTCACCTGCAGGAGGAACACCTGCACCATTGGGTGTCCCCACAAGCCATCAGATGAACCCACCTCCTGACCCCTAAATTATAGACACTCAGAGAAACAAGTCATACATTTGACCAAATAATTTATAAACTTTCTTCATTTTGAATCTTGTTTATGATCTACTTTCAGGGCTTCACAGGCGGTGCGCCACCTAGTGGAAAAATATGGAAACTGAAAGTGGAGAGACAGGGAAATAAAAAAAATGAAAGGAATGCATTTTTTTATGACAAGTCCAAAATTAAAGCCTGTTCTAATTAACCCAATCTAAGCTTCAGGACGTCAAAAACGTATTAATAGACTTCAAGAAGTCCTTGATTTTTTTTGTTTGTTCCCATAATGAACACTGGGGATAAATTTAAAACAATTTTAGAATTTGTCAGGAATAGTTGGATTAATTGAACCACACCAAAACAATAAATAAAAAGACTTATTTTAAATTYTGAGCCTGCCACCTGACTCTAGAACTAATGGAATATAATGTGGATGCAAAGATTAAAAATATGAACAGAAACAAATGTGTGGCTGACATTTTTTATCCCCAGAAGACGTGCTGAGAGTTAATCTCTCTTTCTCAAAGCTGGCATTGTTCAAATAGTTCTTTATAAAAACGAAGATAATGAAAGTTCATAACCTTTGCACAAAAATTCCACACCTAAATACCTGAACCTCACTTCGCCTGTTTAATTGTTTGATTTAATTATCTTGACGCATCAAGAAGATGCCAGCGTTAAKCATCTTATTTGTGCAAATAACTAAATTAAACTCCAACAAGCCAAACGTTGTCGAGAAAGCGATTACCAGACATTCCTGTGGTGAGTAACTGCATTGAAACAAGTATGATTTTTGTGTGCAGGGTCATCCGTGTGATTTGTGGCTGTTGTGGTCAGTCATGTCATCAGTCAAACCTGACATCCTACCGAGGCGACTGGTATGTCTCACTCACACGTTGCTGCGGGACGGGCCAGTAAAAACTTGCAAGGACTCCAAACAATCGCCACGACATCACGTTTACTCCTTTTTGGATTTCGTTCAAATTAACTGATCAAACAAGAACCAGCAGTTTGTGACTACTTTAACATGTGCRGGTAATTTTCTTTGTTAAATTGTTGTTTTAGCAACACTAACTGTTTGATGGTTCCCGTCCCTCCTGGTGCAGATTTGTGAYACACCAATCGGAGGCCAGAGCACGTTATCTTTACATAACAAGATGCAAGAATCTGATAATTATGGGATTATGCCTGGATGAAAAAATCTCAAGCTTTTTGACAGATTTTTAGAAAAAAAAGGGGAAAAGAGTTTTGTGAGCCTGAGGGAGGTATACAGGAGTGTGTTAGATAACCAGAGTTTTGGTAAATGATGTGTAGGGTTTCTATACAAAGACAGAAAAAATGCATGTTGGAGCTAAAGACTGGAGGTAATGAGGCTTTGTGGGGAGACATCATTTCCTCCCTCTTATTTAGTCTCAGTTTTCTGATGGGATTTTGTTCTCTTCAAACAAATAAAATTTAAAAACGTTTTAAAACAGAAAATATAGTTGTGTACGTTGTTGCTTTACTGTTTATAATATATTCCAGACATAATTTAGAATCATAGTTTTGTGCTATTTTTACTCTTTGTAGATTGAAACATTAAGCTTGATGGGGAAAAGTGTGCTGTGACTTTTAGTGTTTTTAACTTTTTGAAATATTTGACTTCATTTACAAAAAATCCTAATATACACACCGAGATTTGATTCTATCAGATACATTGTTCTCCAACATTTAATTTTGGCACACCTGCTCTGCTTTCGCCTTCACATGCCCCTTTTAAATTTGAAATGTTTGGCTAATTTTAACTTCATTTGCTTKCTGTGGGTTTTAGCTTTTGGTATTGCTAATTTTAGRMTTTACCGATGAATTGATATATTTAGTTTTCAGCTATGGCTGTTTTAATTTTAGTTTTTAGCTACTGTTGTGCTAACTTCAGCATTATCTACTGTACYTTTTTTTACTAGTTCTGTCTAATGGTTCCCCTTTCTTTTAGTTTTGACCACAGTTTTGCTACATTTAGTTCTTGTTTTGCTAATTGTAGCTTTTAGCTTTTGGTTTAGCTAATTTTGTCTTTTATCTATGGTTTTGCTACTTTAGTTTTTTTTAACTGGGGTGCAAATTTTAGCCACAAAATTGGTGCAATTGGTCGTTATTTTGCTACTGTGGTTTTTAACTTTTAGTTTATTGTAGCTTTTTTTCAATAAACTTTTAGCATCTGTTTGCTACATTTAGTTTTTAACTTCTATTTTATTTTTAGCTACCATTTTGCTGAGTTAATTATCTGTTCTGCTAGTTTTAAGTCCAGTTAAGAAAGCGTTATTGTTGCATTTACTTCAGAAAATCTATTTTCTTCATTTTGTTTTTGCAGAGCCTGTGAGGGAAAACCATCGACTGACAATCAGGGAGTGAAAAGATCTCCTCTGATTCTGTTTTCCCCCCGAGGACCCGCAAGTTGATCTTCACAGCAGATCTGTATGAATTCCACATTCTGTGAATGACATCATGCAAAGATTCCTCAACATGTTGCATCCAGCATGTATGCACTCTCTGACTGTGATTGATTATTTTTACAGGGCCGGATAGAAGACAGGAACACATCAGGGCTTGTTGCTAATTGAAATAATGTGTGTGATTTCAGCAACAAGCTTTGGATGAGGAATTGACGCAGGTAACTGATGCAACGCGTAGAAGCAGATGAGCTTTGGCAACAAATGAGAACCGTGCTGATAAAATGAGTCACGAGGTATTTTTTCAATACTAACTTTATTATTTCAAATACTCAGTTTCAATAGCTTCAGAATTAAACGTATTGTTGAAATTTAGCAGTTTAGTTTTGTTTACAAGCGTGCCAGTTTTAAAAGCTTCTTTTTATTGGTCTGGAGTGATGTCACAGAGAACTGTGGATTTACAAAGGGAGAATCTTCAAGCGTCACAGTGATGCCAAATAAGGGATTTCRCAGTGCTAAGGCAGCTARAGAACAACACATTATTTCTGAAGACATACCTGGATTTAAAGCTTGATCAGGAAGATTAAATGCTATTTTAGTTACTGAGATCTGTATGGACTCATTTTACGCAAATTTCAYTTACAGCAAAAATCAATAATAGCAAAAATCAATATTTCTACTTAATTTGCAGCCTGAGCTCATTTCAACTCATATTGCAGCAAATCTTTTCAAGAACAGGTTTGTTCAATTTGGACCMAAGAGCTTGAGAAAAATGACCTGTYTATATACTGAACATTACAGGAAGGTTTCCTAATGTTTTGACCTATTTTCTTGAAACTTGTTATTATTTTGTYWATTTTATTTTGTGAAAAAAGTCATRGCAGTTTAAAAWGTTTGCTAATTTATTTTCTTTRATCATTTAATGGCAGCTTTATTTCGTGTTAACACAAAGGACCCTGAACCTAAAACAACTGTGCATTTTTCTCTCTTACCACCTGTAATCTGTTAGTAATCAGCACACRTGTTGTTAGTCAGTAATCAGTACTGTACARACACTCTGGTTTTCCTCACTTGGTCTCATCTTTTCCTGCCTGATTCCTGGAGCTTGTTTTTCTGTTTTATTTAAATGTCTTCTTGACTTTGGATGATWTGTATACCTTTAAGAAAAAAGTTGATTTTATACAAATTTCAGTTTTATTCCTTCCCTGAATTTAGGCTCAGCTCACCGCCACCAAATGTGGCAAAGCTTCATTTTAGTTAGTGAGGAAGCTGCAGCTGCAAAACAAAATAAACCAAAAAAATAAAAACCTTTTTGCTCCTCCAACCACTTGACCACAATCAACCTTTGCTTCCTCCAGGCTGACAATATGAAATGCAAATGAAGGGCAAGATTAGTGTTGTGGAGGTGAAGACAAAACAGCTGGAGTTTGTTCGACTTTAGATCCTAAAGGCACCGCCACACTATAGTGTTTTAGATGAGACATTTGGAAAATTTAGTCTTTCATGCTGGCATACGCTGATGATCTGATGTCACATGATGGTTGCAATATGCTCCAACATGCGCTGCATAAGTTCAGCTCTTTGAAAGATTTTAATCCAAATGAAAACAATAAAAACAGTTCTCTTCTTTTGTTTTGCTGCTAATTTCAAAACCTGAGCGCGTTTCAAACACTTGGCTTCCTTTGAGCGCAGCTATTACAAAGTCATGTTGAGATTTACTGCCATGTTTCTTAACTCTGAATTAAAACGGAGCATAAATCTTTCATTTAGCCAGCAAAGCTCATGTGGAACGCATTTAGTGAGTTGTGCAATTATTGGAGATGCAAAGAGAGATGACGTTTGGTGCCTGTGTCCTCATTGTTTCCCTAAGGAGCACAGCAGGCTGAGAAGGAATGATCATTAATATGGCGAAGTGCACAAACTCTGTGCAAGACATCAGAAAATCTGAGTTTAACTAAAAGAATCTGTCAAATCTGCGCTGAGACTTTGTGATAATGCTACTGAACCATTTGAGTCTAAAACGCACTTTTACTTAAAAAAAACACACAATAACAAACATCACAATGCAGGAGAAAAAAAGCTTATCGCCCATCACTCCAGAGCGAGAGATGCTMCCACTTGGAGTATGTATTGTGGATGACTCTTAGCTTCTACCACACCAAATGTATCCCAATATCTGGAATAACTGACTGAGTTTTAGCCATATTTGTCTTGGCTAAGATCAAACAGCTGTGGCAGCCATCTTGAATTGAAACGTTAATGAGTTGTAGACGTGCAGCCGGTGATTAGTTTTAAATTCTCAAGGTCAAATCTCTACTTGATCAACAAAAACTGTTGAGATTCTTGGTTCTTGTGTGTTTGACAAAACTGTAAGAAAAATATGTGTTCAATACAACTGAAGTCAAGATGAAAACACAATTGTCAAATAAAATGATTTGTGGTAGAGAATAAAATCATACAACACCAGAATTCTGAAAACCGAGTGAGGTTTAGTTGTCACCGGGCTAACAAGGAAAACCACACATTTTCACAAACACACAAATAGAGAAGAGAAAAGAAAAGTGTTTGATTCCTGGATTTATTCCCAATGACACGCACGAACACAGCCACCTATAAACAAGGATTTTTCTTTTAATTTATCTAATACCATGCATAAAAACCCACCAGGCAATCTAACCTAACAAATCATGGATTTTTCCTTTAACCAGGCCTAATATAAATGCCCACTCGCCACCACGAATTTGTTTAGTCTTCACCCACCCGTCCAGCGCAGCCTTTTACAGAAAGCTCACCACCCGATTTTCGGAAACGCGCTTAAAACGGCCTAAGAAATATTGTCACTACCTAAAAAGGGCCCCATTTATTTCCTGATGCATCTCAGTAATCCAGGTAAAAAATCAAAAAGAAACAAATTGTGTAGGTCTTCTGACCCAGAGACCCCAAACCCAGACCCAAACCAGTGGTTATTCCGTATGTTGCGGGTGTTTCGGAGAAACTGAGACGTTTATTTTCTAAACATGATGTCCCAGTYGCTTTCAAACCCCAAAACACATTACGGCAAAGGCTGGTTCACCCCAAAGATCCGGTGCCCCGGCACAAACAGAGCAATATTGTATATGCTGTTAAGTGCCAGGAGGACTGCGACCAGTTATACATCGGGGAAACAAAGCAGCCACTGTTCAAAAGAATGGCCCAACACAGACGAGCTACATCTAATGGCCAGAACTCTGCAGTTTTCACTCATTTACAGGCCAGCGGTCACTCTTTCAGAGATGAGGATGTTCTCATTCTTGATAGAGAGGAACGTTGGTTTGAGAGAGGAGTAAAAGAAGCCATTTTTGTAAAGAAAGACTGTCCATTATTAAACAGAGGTGGAGGCCTCCGTTTTCAGTTGTCCCCCTCCTACAGTGCTGCTATTGCCAGTATCACTCCAGCCCCTGTTAACAATAAGTGTTAATTAGGTGTCAACGATGGCCATGTGATGTGATGTATCAGTCACACGGAGGCTGGGCTTAAAAGCCTGAATTTTGCCTGAAACTCTCAGACTGAAGAAGTCTCTTGGAGAAGAGACGAAACGTTTCATTAGAGAAGAACCCGTCCAGAAGACCTATACAATTATTTTTCTTTTTGGTCCCATTTATTGTATGACCTTAACCCCCCACAGACTGATGTGTTCAAATGCTTAAAAACCATCTTTTACCGTTCACATTAGACGCGTTTGTTTAGTCTACGCCGACTGACAAGCTATCAAGCTAGCATTGCTACGCTGGTCCACAGGCATAGCGTAGCAATGCTAACACAGAAGCTAGCTAACAATTAGCGGGTCTGCTTCAACGCTCCGACACACAGGTCATCACGCAGAAACACTGATCGCCGCACAGTCCCATTATGTTAACAAGATGGAAAGCAAAAAAGATTTTGCTCACCTGTTTATTGGCGCCTTAGGACGTGCGTCGATACGGCGTCTCCCACGACCGGCCTATTCAGCCGCAGCCTCAACACAGCCCCGCTGTCAATTCGACCGTCAGCCGAACGTCAGTGTCACCAAAACTGCAAGAAAAAAAGTGTGTATGTGTGTGTGTGTGTGTGTGTGTGTGTGTGTGTGTTTTAAGTATGAGCTTTGTGGCCACTGTAAATTCCTGCAGGTGTCTCAGCTCATTACGCTTTGTCTGTTCGCACCACGTCGTGTCTGAATAACCCTGACTTCACGGCTTTGATCCTGTGTGTAAAGCAGCGGGTCATGTAGAGATCCTGCATGTGTTTAATGTGCAGGAATGAGTCATGAGGAAACAAACAGCCTTTATGTGTACACGAACAACAGAGCTCACCTGTGATTCACTTAAATGACTGTTTGCTGTAAAACGTGGTTTTCAGTGGGGCTTCCCTGATCTGCTGGAATTTCTGTGTTTTTACATGTGTTCCTTTGAACATTCAGCAAAATATCTCGTGAAATTCAAGATGGCTGCTACGACCAAGCAATCTTTACGAACACTAAATTGACCATAATGCAATCAACTTCACAGATATTAAGGTCAAATTTTGTGTGTTGTTGGCTGATACTCATCCCTAACAGTTGCAGTAAGTGTTAAAATTAATGGAGTCAACTCTGTTTGTTAGCAAACTGTCTCATAAACCACATAATGGATTTTAATGAAACTCAGCTAATCATCTTTTGGAGCACATATATCATATTTATTCATGGATAATACGATCTCGGCTATAATACGATCATCATTTATTTTTTTGAGCTTAAAATGCATTAAAAATCTAATTATCGATACCC